AAGGAATGAGGAAACCAAAGATTATAGTAGGGACCCTCAAATTTTGAAAGAGACGAATTAGGAAAATACATACGAATACATACATTATCAATTTTTTGATCACCTTGAAACTTACATTATTAATAAAAAATCGTTATGTTTCCAGGGCTTAAAACTACTGCACTTCATATATTTTTATACCCCTATGAAATCAACATCGATTAATAAAGATATCAGTACCAAATCGTGTGACTATACCCAAACGAACCGACTTTTCGGTCATTTTACAAATTGTATTATTTATAAAAAAATAAAAGTTATGTTTCCGGAGTTGGCAGTACTTAGTACAGAGTGTTTTTGTTTATATAAGAAAAAAATAAAGGTTGATTTACAAAAAAGAAATGTGGCTTATTGAGATGAGATGACATATTACAAATACGTTGTCTGAAGACTAAAATCAGAAGAGAGTACTTTGACAAAAATGTCCACGCGCGCACGCGTGTGTGTGTGTCTGTATCAGTCATATCTCAGAATCTCCATGATCGATTTAATAAAATTTAGCTTATTTTTTTTGTGTTTGGATACCGAACCGCACTACAATAAAAAAAATTTTGATTCTATGCGTTTGATTTTTTTTTTCGATTTTATCGATCTCCAAAATACCGATTAGGAAAAAGAAATCTTTTAGCTTTTAGCACTTGTTCCATTTTATATGCTCAAAAATCTGAAAGATTATTAGATTTTATGCAAAAAAATATTTCGATAAAATTATAAAAAATCAATATGTAGGTGGTATAGGTGTAGTGTAAGTATAGGCATATGTACACTATCAGCCATATTTCAGGATTCCCACGATCGAATTGAAACTTAGCTTATTCTTTTCATATTAGGATAAAGTTACCTGCAGGGAAATAAATTTGATTTCATGAATTTTTTTTACTTAGTTTTTTTATGAATTCCGAAAAATCGATTTTTGACTAAAGTTGATTTTTTCGGTTTAATATCAGTCATATAATATTTAATGTTTAAAAATAAGCGAAATTATGGAATTTTGCATGAAAAAACATATTCATATGGCATTTTAAAAATTAAATATGTGAGTGGTTGAGAGTTAAAAAAAAAAAAAAAAAAAAAAAAGATTTATTGACAAAAGTTGATAACAAATTACCATTTCATGTTTTTTCACTGTCCCAACCGTGATGAAAGTGGATGAAAATGATGTAAAGTTGCATATAACAAACAATAGCTAGCCTACGTTTGACTATCACAACATCGGTTACGCAACGTCCTATTGTGACTGAATCAACTACTCCTGGGTGTACGACACTCGGTCCTCCGCTACTGCTCTAATATATATGTACTGCTGTTGCGGACAGAGCCGCTGTCCTGATGTGAAGAGTGGGAGATGCAGGCATGTGTCTGGTCCGATATGAAAAGAACTTGGTTTGTGACCACTGGATGTTCTGGTGTATTTTACTTACTACATAGGTAAGCGACTGATTGGGACCGCTCGAGTGACCGTATGAGGTCGGTAATTATTTCACGGTGGCGGAGTGCCGATTAGGGGCGGAGCTGTATCTCCGCTTGCCTTCATGCCCAAATTTGTAATCATGAGATCCCGTTCCTTGGGAGTTAATGAAATGTGGATCGAACTTTCAGGGAGGTAGTTAATGTGATCTACCTTAGTCCTTCAGGCAAAAGGTAGGTACTCTGCCCCGGAATATACGGATTGACGAGTAGAGGATGTCAAGACTAAAATGGTCACAGTCGGTCGCTGACCGTCGCGAAATATTATTTGCACGGCCTCGTTCATACTTATAAGTTATATCGCTGAAATGTACAAATATATTTAAGCTTCATGTAAACCGGACGTCAGTAATCGGCGCGCACAGGTCGTCTAGTTTAAAGCATAGGAAAGAGCAGCGGGGAAGGGGAAGGATAGCGGAGGAGAGACGGGACAAACCGTCGTAGGATAGGGCAGTAGCCTTTGGAAAGCGATTGGCGTAGGTAAGCGCTGGCGTCCGGCTATCGTACACAGTTGTTTATTTGAAATAAACTCATTTTTATTAACCTAATTCTATCTTTTCTTTTATGTAATCCCTCATCCATCTGACACACACGGATTGTGTTGTCAACAAATTGGTGCCGAAACCCGGGACTACACGGCGTAGAGAATCCGTAAGTTTGAGTCCACCGACAACGAGAACAGTGTCAAGATGGCGCCTGGCAAACGTGTGTTGAACAAAGAGACGCGAGAATTGGATTCCGGTGGGAAGAACATGAGGCTGCCAATGACTACTGCCTTGCAACGACGCTTGGTTGACCCGCTGTTTCAAGTAGCCGACCTGTAACAATCAGCCGACCTCAGCGAGGCCCAAGGTGTGCAGTTTGGTGGGGACGAGAACAGCGGAGGTGAGGAAATTGGTAGATGCGTGGAGGGAGTTCCCAAGGAGACTCCAAGGGCAGAATCAACGCGCGTCTATAACCAAGTCGATCAAGGTAATCGTAAGCTGCTTGAGCAGCTTGCGAGCGTTTTTGAAGCGTCTCTCCGTGCTGTGCAGGACCGTTCGAGTGTGGCGAGTGAGTCTCGATTATTGATGCGTTTGACTGATGCGAAGTCTTTGCCAGTGTTCGCGGGCAACGTATTAGAGTAGCGCCATTTTAAGCAGCTGTACGAATCCAACTCCGAGGCTGCGGGATTCTCCGATGAGGAGAATGTTGCGCAGTTATTCCATGCGGTGCAAGGGGAAGCGAGGCAGGTGGTTGGCGCGCTGCTCGCAACCGGAAGGGGACCTGCTGCCATTATGGATACGTTGGCGTTGCATTACGGCGACACAAACGCGATCGCATCAAAGCTTGTGAAGGACCTCAACGACTTGCCGCGTATAGACAGCACCTTAATTTCGTCGAATGTGCGCAATGCAGTAGCCGCGTTAAATAGCATTGGAATGAAAGGCTATATACATATCCAAGAGTTAGCTGTACGCGTTGGCACAAAAATAACAACTGACATGCAGCTGGTACACAATCGTTGGGCCGCAGTGAACCCTAGTACTAAAACCGAGTTAGAGCGGCTCACCGATTATTTATTTTACGAAGCCGAGCTCGCAGTCGCTGGGGGTCTGTTTGGCACGCAAGCCTTTGGGTCTGTACCGCGGGGTAACGCAAGTAACGATCTCCCCCGAGTGTCAAGGGCACAGCGTGTAATGGTGGTTGTGCACGACAATAACGACAACAGTGGCACTCCTGAACGGCAACCCTGTTGCCCCGTCTGTGATCGAGACAACCATCAATTAGCAGATTGTACAAAGTTCGCGCGCGAGCCTATTGCGAGGCGTTGGTGGTATATAAGGCGATTAGGACGGTGTTTCAGGTGTTTAGGGGTCGGGAATTTTCAGAGTGCTTGTAAGGGAGTGAAGTGTGTCCAGTGTGGAGGCCTGCATCATGTGCGGCTACACCGACCAAAGGAGCAGCAAGTAGAGGAGGGGCATTCATCACCGCGCGATCAAGGGCAATCGTTTCCGAAAAAAAATCGTAGCGACGCGCGTTCCTCCTTTTGACTAGTACTCCCTATGCGCTGCTGAAAATATTGCCGGTTACCGTGCGAGGACCAACTCGAGCGATCGACACTTATGCATTTTTATATGACGGGTTCACAATTACTATGATGTCAGCAAATTTAGCTACGTGTTTAAATCTGAATGGGAGACACGAAATGATTAAAATCATGGGCATCAAGGCAAGTGTCGACGCGGACACGCCGTGTAAGCGGGTAGATTTTTCCATCGAAGGCATGGAAGATGCTTATTCAATAAAGGGAGCTTTGGCCGTGTCATCAGTGAACTTACGCACGCAGTCTTTACCGCCCGAGTTGGTCCGTCAAATCAGCAAAGAGCTGGGTATATTTATTCAAGTGTACGACAACGTGGTTCCATTGATTCTTATTGGGCACGATAATTAGGAGTTACTAGTGAGCCGCGAAGTTCGTTGCATGCAAGATGTAGGTATCGCACTGTCACTGACGCGGCTAGGGTGGGTGGCGTACGGACACGTGCAGCCGAGTCAACATGTAAACAGCAAGGACTCGCATGAGCGAGCACTAGAAATGAGTGCTCATATGTCTTGCGTCACCTGCGTGGAACGAACCGAAGGGCTCGAAGCTTTAGTCCGCGAATATTTTAAAATCAAAAGCATGGGAGTGCGCGAAGTTAAACGCGTCGATCCCGTACAAGCGCGTGCGTTGGAGACGCTACAAAGGACCAGTCGACAGGTAAATGTAGGTTGGGAAACTGGCCTACTGTGGAGAAGTAATACTGCCCCAGTCCTTGACAGTCGCGCTACGGCCTTGAAGCGACTGCATAGCATTGAGAGGCGATTAGACCGTGATCAAGAGTACGCTCACTTGTATTATCCTGAAATGGAGCGACTCATTGCACAGAGCTACGCGCGAGAGGTGGACGACGAGATGATCGCCTCGCGCGTGTGGTATCTTCCCCATTTTGGCGTGGTAAACGCAGCTAAGCCCGGCAAAATTCGGATAGTTTTTGACGCCGCAGCCGCTACGAAAGGCGTGAGTCTTAATAACCAGTTAGATGCAGGCCCCAACCTCCTGCAGTCGCTTCCCGGAATGTTACTGAGATTTCGGCAATATGCGGTCGCGTGTAAGTCAGACATACGCGATATATTCATGCGGGTGTATATTTGGCCCGAGGATAGGAGCGCGTTGAGATTTTTTGGAGAGGAGCATCACGAGATAAGAACCCTCACACTTACGAAATGACTTGATTAGTGTTTGGCGCTAAGTCATCTCCGTGTACCGCACACTTCATGAAAGACACAAACGCGCAGCACTTCGAGACGACCAAGCCAGAGGCGGCGCGTAGCATTATAAAAAACTCTTACGTCGACGACTTCCTCGTGAGTAGACTGAGTGTAGAACAACTAGAAGTGCTTGTCGAGGACGTAGTGCGAATTAACCAGCAGGATAATTTTAAATGCATGGCTGGGCATGCAGCGAGGTGATGAGGGTAGGTGAGCCGCAGGGAACAACGTCGGCGCGACAGGAGCGAGCCATCGTATTGTGCGATAAAGCCGTGGAACGCGTACTCGGTATGTACTGGGACCTGAAAGTAGACAGGTTAGGGTTTAACGTAGGACTGACACATGTTCCTGCAAGTATTCTACAGGGATGTGTCCAACCTACGAAGCACAAATATCTCCGTTTTATGATATCGGTGTACGACCCACTCTGCCTGCTCGGACCGTACACTATTAGTTCAAAATTAATCCTGCAAGCAATCTGGCGTAGTGGGATCGGATGGGACGAACCCCTTCGCGATGAAGAGGATGAGGCGTGGCGTGAGTGGCTAGATACGGTGAAAAAGTTTAACTCTTTGCGCGTATCAAGGTGTATAACCCCCAAGGGGCGAGACATTAAAGAAGCGCAGATACACGTGTTCTGCGACGCTAGCACACGCGCTTTCGCGGCATGTGTTTATCTCCGATGCGAGACGACGGGAGGATGTATAAGTGTTACATTATTAATGGCAAAATCCCGCGTCACTCCGGACAAACCACATTCAGTGCCAAGGTTAGAGTTGCAGGCCGCAGTGCTGGCGTCGCGGCTCTTAAACACTGTGAGTTCCGAGATAGAAATTCCCTATTCTTGTGCGTACCTCTGGTCCGACTCGCGTACGGTGCTGCACTGGATCCAGAGGGATCCACGGGTTAGACAGGCTTTCGTGGCTCATCGTTTAGGCAAAATCTCCGAAAGAACCGCAAACGCGAAGTGGAAGTGCGTACCTACCAAGGAAAACCCGGAGGACGCAGCCACGCGCGGGAAGCAGTTAAGTGAGAGCGAAGAGAAGCGATGGTTCCGAGGACCCGACTTTTTGGTACTACCTGAAACTCAGTGGCCGACTGCGCGAGAATTGACGCATAAAGAAAGGGAGGTATTAGAAGGGGCAGAGCGACGACCGGAGAGAGTTGCGCTAGTGGTAGGTAGTTCGAATTATGTGCCTTTTGTAGCTCGCGTTTTTGGCTGGGAGAGGCATTTACTCGCGGTGCAAAGAGTGCGTAGGGCGTACATGCATTGGAAACAATTAAAGGCAGCGCGCGTAGCTCAAAACAATGGACAAGAGCTATTGCAGCAAGCTCAGACGGAAGATCAAGATCTAGCGTGACAGTTAGACGAGGAATATGTCCTACGAGCAGCACGAGGGGATAGTTTCGCACGGAAACGTCAGGCACTTGCAAAGGGGCAAAAGATTCCAGCTGGCAGTAAATTAACCCCATTTTTGCCGTTCTTAGATGATCGTAGTTTAATTAGAATCAAGGGTCGTGTGACTTGTGTGGCGGGCGCCGAGTTTAATCATACTCCGATAGTGTTGCATGGGAAGCATAATACCATTAGGGCTATCGTGCGGAAGCTGCATTGCCGCTGGCAATATGGTAATTACGAAACAGTCGTGAACGAGCTGTTGCAACGGTACGTCGTCTTCGGAGAAAGGCCCGCGCTGAAAGCCGTCTGCAACCAGTGTTTGATTTGCAAGGTGCGACGTGGTCGTCCACAGCCACCACTAATGGCTGCCTTGCCTGACGGAAGGCTGGCGTATCAGCAGCGTCCGTTCACGCACTGTGGGGTGGAATATTTTGGTCCCATATTGGTAAAGATAGGACGCAGCCGCGTCAAACGCTGGGGAGTCCTTTTCACGTGTCTGGCGACACGAGCGGTGCACTTGGAAATTGCGTGCAGTTTAGCCACAAGCTCGATGATTATGGCGTTACAGCGAATGGCAGCGCGGCGAGGCTGTCCGGCGGTGATTTATAGCGACAACGGGACCAACTTCCGCGGCGCGTGCACGGAGCTTCAGACGGAAGTAGCTCGCTTAGACAGGCAGCGACAAAAGGAGTATGCATTAAAAAACGGCATACGCTGGGTCTTCAACCCACCCGAAGCGCCCCATATGGGCGGCTCCTGGGAAAGATTGGTTAGATCGGTGAAAGTTACGCTTCACGCGACGCTTAAGGACAAGGTGCCTTCCAAGGAAGTTCTGTGCACGGTGCTCGCCGAAGCGGAACATGTTGTGAACTCGCGCCTTCTTACGCACGTATCGGTGCATCCTGGGGACGGGGAAGCGCTTACTCCCAATTACTTCCTCATAGGAACAGCGAGCGGTTCGGTGAATTTGGCCGCCTATAGTTTACCTCGTCAATGTACGCGTAAGGATTGGGAGTACGCACGTGCCCTCGCAGACTTATACTGGCGGCGGTGGCTGCGTGAATACGCACACACCTTGCAAGCACGGCCAAAATGGCAAAATGTAACAGATACAGTCGCGTGCGGTGACTTAGTGATGATTATCAATGAACAAGTGCCAAGAAATACGTGGTGGAAAGGCACCGTTGTCGAGATTTACCCCGGTACGGATGGCACTGTGCTTGCGGCAAAGGTTCGGTCGAATGGAAGCGAGTATGTTCGCGCGACGCATAAACTCATTGTACTATTTTGAGAGAAAGTACAAGCAGGTGTGACTGAATATACGGATTGACGAGTAGAGGATGTCAAGACTAAAACGGTCACAGTCATTCGCTGACCGTCGCGAAATATTGCTTGCACGGCCTCGTTCATACTTATCTTACTAATATATAAAGCAAAAGCGCTAAAACCGTTGTAATCGCTAACCGCGAAAACTACTCAACCGATTTTGTTGAAATTTTGCACACTGATTCATGATACTTCCTAGATGGTTTTAGTATAGTTTTTATCTTAAAAAATTTAATAACAATAGCAATAAATGAGCTCAAAGTTTTGCAAAAATACGCTAGCTTTTCACTTTAGTTCGGTAAAATCCGCTAGGTGGCGTCGACATAAAATCGTAGCTACCTGCAACATAATTAAATAAGTGTGGTTATAATAGGCTGGAGCGTCTCGATATTGTTGTAGTCGAGCTTCGGCAATTCAACGAGCTGCATAGAGAATGCTGATGATAGTCTTGCAGCTGGGTATCCCGGTTACGGACGACACTCTTCTCTAAAGGGGAAGGGACCTAGGTGTCCATTCACCCTGAATCTCGAGTGCGATCGAAAAAAAAAATTAATTCCAACCGATGCCGTCTCTGCCACAATACCAGGAGACATATCTAGCCAAAGCACAATCTGCTCCAAAAAATCAGTGTTGTGTGGTAGTTCCACCATCCCACCTGGTGCAGTAAGAGAATTTGTGGCTACAAATGTAAGCAAGGGAAAAAAGCTCTGAGGGGCATGGGTAGCCACAACGGCTACCTTCTTGGTCGTCGCGTCCCCAACGCGAGACGAGATATTCTTTGGCCAGCGGCGTACCTCCCTCCATCACAGTCTCCGTACATCGAGACTCCCAGGGTAAGAATCGAGCAACCGTAGCCAGCTCTTCATCATCAGGAATAAGAATAGCCTGGAAGTTTCACCACTGGCGCTTTTTAGGGCCATTATAAGTATTTACGCTCCCTACTTAACCATAAATTTCATCGGTTCTTTTTAGGGGCCACCTAAGTGTAAACTACCTTGCCAACAAATAAATTTTTATTAACATTTCCGGAAGCGATTCGTCGACTAAAATACTAAATTAACTAAAGACGGGCACTATTAAACCAAGTCAGCTATTCACTGGCAGACGTCACCTGCGGAGTTGTTCTTCGCAAAGCTGGAAAACCCTGTGACCGACGACCCTATACTACCCTCTCGACTCTAAGCATTCAACCAGGAATCACTGATCCTCTCCAAGGTCTGCGTTGGGCAAACCTATAACAGCTATGAAGGAAAAAAAACTTGAGCCAACGGGACAGCCTCCACTGGACAAGTATCACTAACCAATCTCCCCATCTAAGATCACCAAAACAACTGAATCTGCAACTAAAAAAGGTGCTTTAGACACCAACGGCATCGACGTTATGCTGGGAGACGTTGGGAAAGAGCACTACAACTAGCCCCAAAGCTTCGGACTTTGTAATTTTTCTCCCAATCAGTCTGGGTCTTCAACAGCAAGCCAAAGAAGATCACCCTGAGGTATCCAGGCAGTCACAATTGCTGTTAACTGCAGTCAAGAAAGAGTTAACTTAAAAAGCTCACCGGTCTTTTTTAGGGCCATCGGACGTCGAACTACCTTGCCAACAAATATATTAGAACTCAACAAAGTTGACAGAAAACACACTTTAGGGGTCACGCAAATTTTAAGCATGCCAAAAGTCGCAAGAGGGTGAATCGGAAGAAAAACTTCAAGTGTATCTAATAACTACAATTTTACTTAGGCGTCAAGAAACTGACGCAGAAAATTTATCGAGATTGAAACAGCAGCGTCAAAATCGACAACTAAAGAGTCCATTACGTGAGAGATCAGCTTTTCATTGTACTCTCACAGCAATCTCTGAAATCTTTAAAGATCCTACTTCAGATTTTTTAATGAGTAGAAAATGTATTTGTGTTTTTGTGGGAATAAATATGTAGGGTTTAAGGTCCAGGACTTTGTTGCTCTGGAGCCGTACCATATATTTTTTTTTAGCTTCGCGGGCCTATGTTATAACATAGGCCGATGTACAAAAAAATAGTTGTATGGTACGGACCCAGTTAATAAAGTTGTGAGATATGAGAAAAAAAATTTTTTTTTACTATAAATTTTTTGGGGGTTTAAAATCTTAACAGCTTTAAAAAATAGCCGTTTTCGTGAATTATACAGGAGAAACTGTAAATCAGCGGCTTCTTATGGCCACTGATTATTTTATGGCATAAAAAACGCACGGTACTTTTCAGCATAATTATTTTTTTGAATTTTGACACATTATTTGACCAAATAAGCTATATGGATTCCGAAAAAATATGTTTTCAATATGAAGATTTTTGTTCTGAGATGTATCAGGAGTATGTGTAAAATTTCTCACTTAAAATGTTTCACGTTACATGTCAACACACTACGGTGTTTTATTTAGTAAGTCTCGGGCGAAGCCGAGACGGGGGGCTGCTAGTAAGTTATATCGCTGAAATGTACAAATATATTTAAGCTTCATGTAAACCGGACGTCAGTAATCGGCGCGCGCAGGTCGTCTAGTTTAAAGCGTAGGAAAGAGCAGTGGGGAAGGGGAAGGATAGCAGAGGAGAGACGGGACAAACCGTCGTAGGATAGGGCAGTAGCCTTTGGAAAGCGATCGGCGTAGGTAAGCGCTGGCGTCCGGCTATCGTACACAGTTGTTTACTTGAAATTAACTCATTTTTTTTAACCTTATTCTATCTTTTCTTTTATGTAATCCCTCGTCCATCTGACACACACGGATTGTGTTGTCAACAACAGCTGTGTATAGTAAATAAACTACAGCTGGTATCTGCGTACAGTATGTATACTTTAAAATTTGTCTGTAACAACGTAAGAGTTGCTTCTAATTCTCAAATCATTGATGCAATATGTGATGCAAAAAAAAATTATTGCTTTTAACAGCTTACAATCTTCCGTTGTCTTTCCTAAAAAATTAAATAATCCATGTCAATATATAATTAAAAAAAGCTTATCGTCATACAATTGCTTCATGATTTTTAAATATTCAAAAGCGCGTGCCTTACATCTCGACAAATAACAAGATGACTTTCTGCCCTGAGCTTTCTTATACTATGACTCAATGAATACTGTACAGAGTATCTTATATTTTTCCATGGTTATCTACATTTTTCGAGACACCATCTTAAAGCTAAAAGTTTTTTCTACAAAATAATCACTATCCTAATGTGTAACTTGTTGATTACGGCAATAAAATAAAGATGTTTTTACATTACTCCATAAGAGGGTTTGTATAATTTGCAAACTTTGGGAGAAAATATCTCGAAAATTTCTGCGGCTAGAGGGGTTAATAAGAACACCGTTTAAATCAGCAAGTTTCTATATATCAAAAATTACCTATGACCTCTCAACTTCTCAACTTCTCCTGCTAGAGCCATCTTAACGCCAACATTATTAGTCTTCGTACAGTGCAAGGGGTAGTGGGATAATTCGTTTTGCTAGAATGAAGTTTATAGTTTATAGTTTAACTTACTTAGCATGAGGATAGGATATTGTGAGTGAAAGCTTAATTATGTACGTATCTATTGCATGATAATTTAACCTCATAGAATATAAATATATGGTGACTATTGGGACGTATAAGATATTTTTTAAATTGTATGTCTCTGCCTTGAAAATAAAATTAAAAACTACGTTGTGAGAAATAAAGATCTCACTAAAGTCAAATACAAAGTAACATATATATATATATATATGTATGTAGAGAGAGAGAGAGAGAGAGAGAGAGAGAGCAGTTAAGCACATTAAAAAATAGTGTAAAGAATTTGGATTATGTAAACAGAAGATTTCTTTTACGCTTCTAGTAGGATAGAATTGGCTTTTTCAAAACAACAATAGCTATTAGCGTGAAAAAAATCATGGTGGTAGTTATCTGAACAAATCTAAATAGTTTTAGACTCCAAATTGTGTCAGCTAACAGCCCAAAAAAAATGGTAAATGTAGTCAAAAATAGTTTTTCGCATCTCGAAAAAAACTGGAGAGTGGGAAAAAAAATGTACCGTTGAAAAAGATACGCAATTTTAAGACAAAGAAGCAGTGGGATAAAATTGGCCCAGCCATTTTTTTCGCAACTTGCCAAAAAGTGCTCTTCTAGACCAATTTTTTTTAAATCTCTAACTCACGTTCATTTAAATATTAAGACTTAAAAATTGAAAACAAGGTAGATCTTGTGCTCCTTAACATCCACACTAAATTTCAAGAAGATCGGTTGTAAACTTTTTGCAAACCGCTGCAAGAATCAAAAAATGGTTCCTCTACAAAAAAGTTAAACGTGGCTGGTTTTTCAACATATTGCCATTTTTCAAACGGCATTGTACTCGTCAAGAGTTCTTCTACAACCTACCAAAACGTCGTTCCGTTCGATATTCCGAAAGTATGCGAAAAATTGATGTCAAAAAGCAGCCATTTCCCATGGATGCGGCTGCGCGGCAAGCCGCTCGCAAACTCCGGAGCTATGATGCGGAGAGGGGGTATGGCCTACGGTGGCGGCTCACCGCGCCACCGCATCCACGGAAAATAGCCGGTTTTTTATATCAATTTTTTGCGTACTTCCAAAATGTCGAACGGAACGCCGTTTTGGTAAGTTATAGAATAACTCACAATGAGTGCAATGCCGTTTGAAAAATGGCAATATGTTGAAAAACCGACCCGTCCAACTTTTTTGCAGCTTCATAAACATACTATAACCTCTATTGTAGTACTATACAATAGATACATGATATTACACATATATTATTTTAAGCCTGCCAATGCCCTGGCACTGATGTAAGGCTTGTCTGGCCAGGCCCTGGTCTTAGCTTTCGGATCAAGTATGGGGGAAGAGCGAGGATCTCTTTCACTAAAAAAAAATTTTTCAGCCCTTTCGACAAAAGCTTCCTGGTGGGACGATGAATGTATCTAACTTTGTTATATTCGAAAGCAAGCTGTCAAAGAATTCGTAATTAACCCCTTTACAAATCATCTACAACACCAAAAAAGTGTAGAATCTTACAAAAAAAAAAAAACAAACTCAAAATACTTCTAAACATATTTTCTTTAAGCATTATCACTTTTTAAAACTCCAAACTTTACCACAATTTGCGAAATATTTTGAAATCTAATTTTAAACAAAGACAGCTTAAACATATTTAATTCCTAACCACTGATTAACTTATTTATCATGGCCCCCTAATTCATTTGTCACATGTGAAATTATTGTAAATAAAACATTAACAAATACATTAAAATATCGAGACATACTTTCGTAAGTCAAACTGTAAAAGATAAAAGGAAAAACTCACAACACATTCCCCCGTTTTTCACGATGGCTTACATGATACCTTCGACCATTGTGAAATCTTTGAGAGGCACTTAATTTTTCATGAGTCTTTCTCCGATTATTTGGAGCCATGTTTAGTACATGGGATAACAATAACTTTTTAGTGCACTACAGATTAATGCTCTGAAAATTTTTAGAGCCCTCTATCAATTTATCACAGATGTACACGTACATGCACTGAAACTGACGTTTTGTTTTTTTATACTTATCTCGCTTTTATTTCGAATTTTTCTATAAAACATATACATGTACATGTAGATATTTTTAAAATTTAAAATAGAATAATGAATTTTATAAGAAAAAAATTTTTTAAATACTGGATTCAAGAATAAATTAATTACTCAAGCCACTTTTGCTGTTATGATCCTTTAAAGTTGATCAGAGCTTCTTTAGCTATTGTCCAGTCACACTAAGTAAATTTAAAAAAAAGCAAGGGTCACTCACAAGAAAGTACAATTAAATGTATGTTTATAGTGATAGATAAAATATTCACAGCTGGAGATAGTGAAATGAAGCAATCCTGCAGTAGCAATTCATTGTCAGGTATATGTTCAACTAGAATGAAAAAATTTCTTTAGATTACATAGAAGTAAAAACAACTACTCGTTAATGAGTGGGTGGATGAAGAAAAACAATTTAAAAAAACTTGAGACAATGTGCACGTAGATTTGTTAAACAACGTCGCCCAGAAGACGAACCCTGACGTCGCTGGGATCCACCAGGTTAGCGAGCCCTTTAATTTGACACAACATGGCTCTTGTATACAATGGAATTAAAGCACGGTATATGAATGTTGCCGACACAGGAAATTCGAAGGGTGTACATAAACACAAAACTGTCAAAGCGCAGAGCTGTCGTCCACCAACATTATAGATGTTGTGGTCGTACTTATAATTCTATCTTATCTGTTGTCTGAGATGAGAACTATAGATAATATCATCGTCAAGCTATTCTGAATTGTGAACCATTCTTTATAATTAATTTACTTAAAAGTAAGTTCGTGTAATTGAATTTTTATAACTTATAACTATAAGATTTAAAATTCCTTTTTTTTTTTCGAAAAAAAGACGGAATTTCTTTGATTGCACTTACCGTAAAAATTTTTTTCTTAAATATAAACCTT